TTTCTTTTCGCCATTTGTTTACGAGTCATCTTAGAAAGTTCTACATTCGGCTTTTTGGTTAAACTAACTCGCTTCAGCGGAACATGTTCGCCTAAGCATCTGTCAACATGAGACTGCCATATGGCAACCACCTCGGACGGATCAGTCGCAAGAAAGAAGGTCTCTGGTATGTTATCCAAAGCATTGTACAGAGCGGGAAGATCGCATTTAGAAAAAGCTTTTACATATCTGTGTTTTGCTTCTGAAGTAGTAATATTAATGTCAAAGGAAAAGATCAGAGTGAAGTGAATAGAACAACCAATAGAAGGCTGATCCGTAATCATAGGGGGTTTCCAAGAAGAAGGAAATAGTAAGTAATCAAGACAGGATTCTTTTGTGGTAGTTACTATAGAATGTGAGCATTCTAATCCGAAAACACTTGCCAAGTCGCGTAAAGCATTGTACATTGGCTTATCAGACGGGTCCGCGTTAAAATCTCCCACAACGAGTAAACAGTCATATTTTGGAGGCAAAGATCCCAAAATAAACGATTCCAGTTTAGAAAAATATCCGTCCCGAAATGAAGGTGGGCGATAAGAATTACAAATAATGAAGATACGTTCGTTAATGGCGACGCTTACTATGAGAGATTCTGTATCAGTATCCGCCGCGATGATAGAGTGTTGCAGTAAATCAGAAAATTGCAGTATACAAGGTATACAAAGTTGCAGTATACCTGAAAATATTTATTTGAACGGAAAGAAAATGGCTATGAAAAAAAGTATTTTCGATCAAAATTGGCATTTTTTTTCGATCAAAATTGAATCCTTGCTTAATTGTTTGACTCTGAAATTTTCTTGCATTATACCTCATTCGATGCAGTGATTCTGAATGACAAATGACATCATTTGTTTTGATCAAAAACATATTTTTAATGGAGAAAATGGATTTCACGTAGAAAACCTTGAATTTTTAGAAAATATATTGTAAAGTCCAGGAACAATTCTGTAGATTTGTAGAAAGTTTAAGCACTGTTGGAAGGATGGAAACCGAGTGCATTATAGCGTTTCAGGAAAATTTTGAGTACTGTAAGAAGAACTGTAATCTGTTGTTTGATGTTGATTTTATCAGCTGAGACGTGCTTATAGAGCTAATAAAACAGATAATGTAACGAGCGTCCATCAGAGTGAATGAAAAGATAATAATAGAACATTGTTTGATAATTATAAAGGATAACGGCTTATTTTAAAATTGATTGAATCAGTTATTTTGCAGTGCATTTAAAAGAGAACGTTGTTCCATATTTCTCGAAGAACTTTTTTATGGTCTTGATGAATTTTTCCGATGTATAGTCCTATCGCTTTGTTTATTTGTAGGGAAATAATTTATAAGGATTAAGAATTAAGTTAGGATCAAAGAGTGTTTTAATATTTCTCATTATATCCAAGGCATGTAAACTCTTACCCAGTCCAAGATATTTTGCTTTATGTAATCCGAGACCGTGCTCAGCCGATATTGAACCTCGTTGTTTCGATACCCATTCATATAAAAATGGTTCTAACACATCTTTAACTGTTTGTGAATATTCTTTTGTTGTTACATTCAAATGGAGATTTCCATCGCCCACATGACCAAAACCTGTTACATTTCTAACATCTTTCAATGGTTCCATGAGTTTTCGAGTTATTTCAACAAGTTCATACATATGTTTTAATCCCAACGAAAAATCATATTTAAACACGTAGCCATCTGATACTAGACCATTAGAAATAGATTCTCTTAACGCCCACAGTTCCGAATACTGATTTAAATCTTGAGCCAATGTTCCATCCGTAATACATCCATCTTCTAATGCTTTGGTCGAAAATAGTTCCATCATATTTTTACAATGTTCAGATGATGTACTCATTGTTTCAATGATAACATAAAATGGACTCTCTTTAATAGGACCACTGTCTTTCTTTAAATATCTCATGGATAATTTTAATGATGTATTGTCCATAAATTCAATAGCCGACAGTGTTTCACCAAGCTTATGTCTTGCTAAACGTAACACCTTTAGTACATCTTCAAATGTCTCACAACTGAAAAAACCTAAGCCAACAGACGACATTTTTGGCGGACATAAGATAGAAACTTGAGTTATTATACCGAGTGTCCCTTCTGAACCAATAAAATGTTGTTTGAGATCATAACCCGTATTATCTTTTCTCAACTGCGTTAAACAATCGAGTATCGTTCCATCTGCTAATACAATTTCTAATCCAAGTATATTTGCACGTAGAGGACCATACCTCACTACTCTTAAGCCACCAGCATTTGTCGCGACATTACCACCTATATGACAACTACCTTTGGCTCCCAAATCTAACGGTATGGTATGACCAAACTGTTCAACATACTTTTCTAATGTTTGCAGAACACAGCCAGATTCTGTCGTTAAAACTGCACTATTTTGATTGAAATCATGAATTCGATTTAGTAAGGATAGTGAGAGAACAATCTCATCAAATACTGGCACAGAACCGCCAGACAAACCCGTATTACCACCTTGAGGACAAACAGCTAATTTTCGCTCATTACAATAACGTAGTATATCAGATATTTCTTGAACAGTTTTCGGACGTAAAACTAGTTTTGATTGACCATGACATGTTTTTATCCAATCAACATTGTACGGCAAACAATCATCATAGTCTGTTACTATACGCTTTGGTAATAGTTTTTCGAAAAATGTAACGTCCTTGTCAGTTAATGTTGAATAAAGAGGCGAACGTTTCAATGATGGGTGTCGGATACTCGAAGAGGATGAAACAGAAGTCGATAAACGACGTAGAAAAATTGTCCACGAATTCATCTATAAATAATATCGCTAAGAATTCGCAACTTTTGTGTAGCAAGAAAAACACACTGAATACGAAATACTATCTAAACACGGCATGAGTACAAGAGCCGACGAAAGAAATAAAGTAAGTCTGAATGGATTCCAGATTATGCTTAGTTTTTCTCATAAAACTTTTATAATAATAAATAAATCATAGGAGAGTCTTCAATGGTAAAGAAAGATGGCCTCTCCAAGCGAAACTGGTTTCGATGACTTCTGTGGCCCACCCCCTTTTTTACTGATCAATAAATAGCAATGAACTTTATCGACCTTTTAGTAAGGGCTCTATTTGATGAGTCGCATTGCTTTTTTTGTCTTGCATTTTCTGTTTATACTACACTATACGACAAGATTTTAAACAATTCACTATGCGAACAGGTTTAGCGACATTATCAGTACGTAAACATGTACTGTGAGGACTGACAAAGTTCAGTTGAATGAAAAAGTGTAATCAATCTCAAACGTGTGGGACTCAAATGTATTGGAGAGAAGGCTCGGATACGATCAGAAAATACTAAAAGTCTTATTTAAAACAGTCAGATCTCTCGGACAAACACGAGAAATCGATGATGGTGCTAATGAGTACCTTAAAATAGTGGTATATGGCACCGCTATCAGGGACTTTTCCCTTGGCATTAGTCTAGGGTCTTACACAATGGTTGTATTGTCTGTCTATGCGAGTTAGGATATGTTAGGACTGAAAGCTAGGTCTAAGTTCTGTCATCGTGAATTAAGGTCGATTGTGACAAATTAGACCTAACTTTAGGTCGGTCAAACCAAGGCATCAGTACATTTCTATCCATGAACGCTACAGTCGCCGCAGAATTTCGAAATTTCACGTTGATAGTAGAGATTTATGGAAGAAATTGATGGATGCCTTGGTTTGACCCTTTCAGTCCTAGCGTATCTGACCAAGATACGCACACATGTCTGTCTGTGCGCAAAATACCGAAAAATGGGTGTTATTTCATGGATAAGCCAATCCTAAGGAAGAAAAATAGAAAATTTCTTTTTAAGCACCCGATAAAAAATACAGAGAGATGACCTTAAATATCTGCTGACGAAGAGAGAAAAAAGTCAAGCATTTGTGTCTGTAGCCAGAGGAAAGATGTCGCCAGAAATCAGGCAGTTTTGATAAAAAAAATGTCCTCATTGGATAACAAAATTCACAGAACATAGATAGTCTATCATAGCGAATCGATCAGAAATACTCATATCAAAAGTGTTGAATGGAAGTACTGTAGAAAAACTCAAAAACGTAATCCTCCGCCCAAAAAAGCATGAAATCTCTTACCTTTAGAAATGAAGTCTTGTTTCACACGGTATTCGAACCGCCTTCAAGCGGAGTACAAAGTTATAGAGCGATCGGGAATCCGAAATCTGCAGCTATAACTCTGTTCTCCGTTTCAAGGCGGTTCGAATGCCGTGTGAAACAAGACTTCATTTCTAAAGAGAATTAATAAGAGTAGAGAGATTTAGTTAGTAAGAATTAGTACGAGATTTGATGCTTTTTTGAGCGGAGGGTCACGTTTTTGAGTTTCTCTTGAAACGAATGTTTTCCCGCCCGCTTCGTGATATGCGAAAACTTCAAAACCACATTTTCATATGCATTTTCCAATGCGGATTCAGAAAAAAAGCGTTTTGAAGCTCCGAAATGCAATGGGAAAAACAATCGTCGTTTTTCTCGAAGGACGTTCACGTTAAATGAAGTTCAAAAAACGGATTTTTGGAGACCTCTTCCAGAGCCGTATGTGAATCCTCCAAAAAACGGGCTGTTTTTTCGTTTTCTATCGACTTTCGAGCTCAGCCGTGCATCAACCAAGAGACTTGTATGGATCGATTTCGTAATTTTATATCTATTTTCATATTTATAAGCTATTTTTAGGGCTTTTACGAAAAGCTCTATAACTTTTTAACGAAGTAAGTCCGAACGAAAAAAATTTAGGAATCTTCCTATATATGTTGCCTTTACCTACGATAAAATCCTGAGCCCAAAACTCAAACGTCGATTGCGCAACTTTCGCCGTTTCACTCGTGCAGTGACTCTTAAGAATTAATTGTCCGAAAAATTTATTCACTGCAAACAAAATATTTCATTATTTCGGGTTTTAATTAAAACTTTCATCCAATGAACTTGAGTCCCACACATTAAAAAAGATTGCTTTTGCTTTTGAATCTCGCATTATTATCAATGACGCTCATAGATCTTAAAACCTTCATCAACATCGAAGTAGTGAAAATGAATTCAAAAATGTTGGATAACACTCAGCCGATTAGTGTTCGGGTTTCTGGTAATTGAAAAAGTCACATCTTTTTCAAATTATCTGAAAACTTTCTTCATGGAACCTTTTATGAATCAGTTACATTTCTTTATTAAAATAAAAAAACTAAACAATAAAAAAAAAACGTAAATGTAAAAAAACGAACGCGATGAAAAACTAGAAAGAATGGAACAATTTTTTTATCCATAAACCTAAGTACAACTTCAAACTTGAGCAAACCAAGAATATCACAGATGAAGTCACGTTCCAAAGAAGACGTTGACATTTAAGACGTTCTTGCTATGAAAATGTTAAAAGAAAAAATCTCTACGACAGCATTGCTGTTAAATCTGACTTTGAAACTTTATATTCGGCCGTATTTTGAGAAAATCTTAGTACAGAATCTAGGTAAACAACTTCATGCCCAACGTGGACTATTCTGTTAGTATATCATAACTTGGTAAGTCTGATTTTTGCCACAATTTGATAAAAATGTTTGAGTTCATTTTCAAAATGGTCCAAGGTGTAACTCATTTAGATCAATGGAATTCACCTACGAAATGAGGAAGAAAAAACAAACTGCTATACATCACTCTACATTCTAAATCGCGTTCCGGATCTTTATACATCCACTCGTTTTTCAGATAATACAGTGCACATTTTGATTACAAAAAGGTGACTGAACAATAAAGGTTTTACCATAGCAGTATTAGTGAAAGGCATATAAGTTCCACTTAGTCTTAAATTAAAATAAACTGATCACTTGAAAATGAATCATATTGGAGAATATTTTACAATTTTTCAACAGACAAACTCGCACGGTAAATAATTTATAAAACCACCGGGGTGGGGTATTTATACAGTTTTATATTTCTTAATTGGACATCACACTAGAACTGACCTTCGATTTATTTGTATGTCATACGAACGTGATCTTATTACTGATGGTGAATCATCATAAAATGGAATTTGCAGCAAATGTTCATCGGATCTCCATGTCGATGGGAATAAATTGTCATCCACCATACTTGAACAATGAAATCCGTTTTGATGTCGAATACAATAATCTTCTATTTCTGAATTAATAGAGTCTGTTGAATCATAATCATTTTTTTGTTTCGATTGAAAACGTGGTGTAAATGTATATTTATTACTACATGTATCATATGAGTTTGGAACAAAGGCTGATTTATCGTCACTCAAATATTCGATACAAGATATTTCACATGATTTAGAACGTTGGCGAATAAATTCATTATCTCCTAAAACTGATGTGTATATATTCGGACAGGAATGAAGTACACAACCAGCTGTAATAAAAAATTCATCATCATTTTGCTCTTCATAATTTTTTGTACCAAATATATGATTTGAATGTTCAATTAAATAAGATGCACATGATCGTTTTAGTAGTGGTTTAGTTAATAATAACTCTTGTGATCTATTTAAAAATGTTTTTGAAGACGAAGAAGTTGTTGTAGAAACGAGTACGTGATTCATATCTAAAGTTTTGTGTAATATCTGACTTGTCATTAGTTGTTCTTCTTCATTTGAATATATAATGTCAATCAATGGATATTTTTTTCTTTTATCAAGCTGTTGCGTTTGTTTGTCGAGGGATGATGACGATGGTGCCAATTGACATGTGTCTGTTTGTAGTGGCGGCGACGATAATGATATAGAAAAGTTTTTAGCACTTGTTGATCCATACGCATTAGAACCTGAAGATGATAACTCTTTATGGATAAATAAAGAATGACAGGAATTACTATGGATAGATGGTGCTGTTGTTGTTGCTGATTTTTCATTACAAAGTACTAATAAAAATTTCGAATTAGGTTCTTGCACCTATAAAGATAAAAAAGAAAACGATTATAACTTTTTCGAGATCATATCTAAAGATTTACACACTATCGACTAGTTAGTATCTATCTCATAGAACATTAAACAGATAGTATAAAGAGTCTTTAGATGTTTTGAAACTAACTCCGTTAATATAATCTCTTAATTTACTAACCCTCGCATTGATCTCTGGGATCTTCACTGATGATACGTTGTATTCACAAGGTGACTCAGAGATCTGAATAACTTTAGTGCTATTTATGAATAAACTAGACGGTGTGCTATTATTCTTATCATGACTGATTGGTTCTGTAGATGAATTAAATAATAAAAATGGTGGACACATATTGAGTGAACCATTTCTTGTATTGGTTTTAAACATTCTAGTTGGATCACTGCTCGATGATGGTATCAACTTATGTTTTCGATTATTATTTCTGACGGTTCTCTTACACTCATTTTCCGTCATCCAGTCCGTGAAATTACTCATTCTTAACAAATAATTCATATTAATATGGTCTATTGGTAGTTCTGATTTTAATTTTGAATGAACCATGATATCGTTATTATCAGTAATATCAGAACATTTAACTACGCCTTTTGAAACACAGATATTAACCTAAAAAACATTTAAGTAAATAGTTTAGATAGTGATACAGTTAAGAGCGAATGGAGATACATGTCTCTTTCTTAGAATAAAACTTCATATCACTCTTTATGAAAGTAAAAAATAGTATAAGCGAAGTAAAATATTCTTTTTCTGTTAGTTGTCCATTCTCATTAGAAGAATTATGACTATCTCACTGAATTCAGAAAATTTTTACTCAATTTCAGAACAACATTAGCAGATGAATACATAATCATTTATCTTAATAATTTCTGACGAAGATTTTCTATATATTGAAAAGCGTTAAACATAGATTTATGTGTTCTAAAACTGTCACTATCATCAAAATTAGATTGATATTTGAATGACCTAAAGTATTCTAGTCTGCGTTACTGAAACATCTTTCATATTAATCATAGTACCTTATTTCATTTATATACAACTATCCTTTTAGATTTACGTATAGTTGTGTGTGTAATACATGACAGGTATATCTTCACTACAAATGGACAAAAAAACGAGGGAAGTTTGTGACATGTCACGGACATTCAAAACCTAACCTTGATTATCATAATGTAGAGAATACTAGATATATATGGATTTGATTATAGCAAGTCATGCTTCCCTTATAAAGTCAAATCAATGAAACAGTATCATAAATTATAAATTTATATAGTAATCATGGAATATGACAAATTCTATAGCAAGGCAATAAAGATAAAAGAGATAGGATACGATGAATAATCTATCAAAGATGTCTTAGTGACGCAAATGAGAATATTCTAGAATATTCAAGTAATGAATAAAATTTCAAATATCGTTAGACAATAATCCACTACTAATATGGAATCAAAAATACGACATAGGATATATAGAGTAAAAATATAAAAACAGTATAACTTCTTTATTTCATTTCGTAAATGATTCAATTATCCTCGTCGATGTTTGTGTAACTCTTTCGTTTATGTTATCCACAACGCACCACATTACTGTAGACTTGTTGGCAAAAATTGTAAAGGTTTTAAAATGTGCCAACATTGTATAATAAGTTCAATTAACTAACTAATTATATCTTCATGTATTACGATACTATTACGTATTCCTTCAATTGAAGAAATTCTATTGTGATAATCGAATTTGGAGGACACCTACCTTAGAAAACATTTGAGCCATGCCATTTTATCAAGTTTAATGACATTATTCACTAAACATCTATATTATCTGTATTAGTAGAGCTTTTCTTTTGTTTATTTTACACGATCGTATAATTTTGTTTCTCTATGTGTGTTGAATGAAGATGATTTCTTTTCTTTTCTTTTTTTTTTTACGTCCGTATGTATTTATATATTTTCAACCAGTTAACAAAAGAAACTGTACGATATACATGCACACACTCGATGAAAGAAGAACAAATGAACTGTTATAACCTTTCTTGAAAATCAACTTAGTTTCATTTTTCAAAAAAATTGATCATTATGTAATATGCACACGATTTAGGAGAGAAAGAGGGAGACAGAGAGAGAGAGAGAAACCATAAAACAAAAGAATATTATAAGTCAGATGTTACTTTACAGATAAACTGAATAGAGAAAGAAAGCTTCATAATATATCTGAATGAGATGTCAGTAATAATAGTCGACATATTTCATTATCATCATGTTCGATAGATGTAATGTGTGGGCAACAGTTCTCAATAATTGTCTAATTATCATAAACCGTAATCATGCAGAAGAATGAAAAAGTATTAAGACAAGTTATGTCGAGAAATCATCTATTCTTTGATGAAGATTCAAAGTGTATTTTTGCTCCTGTTAAAAACGTTTACTTGAGCAAATGAATAGATTAAACTTAACTTGGTAAAAGATAAAATGGTATAAAACATTTTTAAGGTTCCGTTGTCACGTTATTAAACATAAATCTTTGTCTTATCCGAAACTGTTCTGAAAATTTGTTTTCCATTCAACTTTTTCGGCTAATAACATTTTTAACTTGTTCAGACACAAGTTTTTTTAAAACAACATTCTGAACAATTCGAGATAGTGAAGTGCACGGATACGGTTATAGTGCCCGATCCGAACGTTTTTTTAACCGTACCTATAGTCTCTGTATCCATGCGCAAGAACCTCAAAGTGCAAAAAAACAACAGGCATATGTCACATTATTTACATAAAAGAAAACATAACAATAAACAATACTAGTCTTTGTTGAATGTTGAATAAGTGATGCTTTGTTTTCTTTTGAATTTTTATTACAAATGTTTTAGAGAATAGGAATATCAATTGTAAATAAAACTATTGCTATTATATATTCATAACTTGATATGAAACAAAGATTCTGTCTTATTCGTTTAAAATTACAGTAAAGATAAACTTTTTAAAATGGGTCATGTTAGAGTATCAGTAAGTGATTAAATAAATGGACTTATATTATTCACATAACAAAATAAATTTTTATTTGAACTATAGTTTATTGATTGATATTCAATTGAGAGAGCTTGGACAGGAATAGAAATGTAGAATCAAAAAGAAAGATAAATTTGTAATGTGATGTTTTTGCAATGGATAAGTTAAACATTCTTTGTAATCCCGTACTCAAACCTAACCTTTGAGTCGAGTTGTATATCACTATTCTGAACAGTTTTTAATAAGACAAAATTCACGTTCAATATCATGACAATGGGACTTTTTGTTGTTACTTAGAATTTTAAATGTGTACATACTTGTTTTGTTTTACTTTGGTAGTCAGACAATATCGATTTGTCATTGATATTATCTGGACAAGAATAATTTTGGATAGTTGTCAAATAAGATGAATCTTTTTCATTTGCAATACATTGTGTTTCTTGGCCTGTACCTATTATCTCTAATTTTTGATCTAATTCTTTTAAAGGAACACTACTATTAACATATGAAAATACGGAGCAATCGATATCATTAGATTCATGAAGACGAGTAGTATTTAAGGTAGAATGTACATGATTATGAAATAAATTTGATGTGGTCTTATGAGAAATTACATTGATCGAAGTACCAGCTGGTCGCACATGACCTTTACCGTTGAATGATCGCGTTTTTGAACAAACTTTAACGGTAGACACATGTTTTCGAGAATGTGTCCTACGATAAACCTGACCAGTATAATCTTTTTTGTTCGATGATGCTGAACCTAACTCGTTGAAATGCTCTAAACGATTAGGTGAGAAAGTGATAGTAATCATCGGTTGTTAAAAATCTATTTTCATAATTCTTTCTCTTACTTTTGACTTTTACCTCGACAGTCTTTAGTGCAAACGAAATCATTTTTTTCTTTACATCACATCTCAAATATTATGAATTAGATGACAAAATGTACAACTATCTCACCTACATTACGCCATGTCTGATGATTCCTATTGGATCCGTCTTGCTTGGAAATAACAATAACCAACTTATGAAAGACTGAAATGTGAGGACGATTCACGTCCATTAGTAGCTAACAAATCAAGAATATTAAAGAATGATAAAACAAATTAATTGTTTACCGTTACTTGTTGAACTGACGTTGTTCTATAATGCATACGTTTTTAATTTGCCTGTTCACAATATATAAATATTATTTGACCTTGATAAGTTTAGCAGACATATATTAATGATGGGAATTTTAATATTATAGAATGTGTCAGAAGAGGAATACTTGATATTGGTGTCACATTTTGTAGTCGTTCTATTACACTGTGGAAAAAATCGTGTTTCAATGACACTGACAAGTGTTTCATTTTTTTGCCATTATCTTATTATCGTCATCATCATCATTCTATTGAAGTATATTTCGACTTTTGATTAATAATTTATTATGATACGATAGAAAGTGTACAATTAAATAAAAAATAGGACAAAAATAACTCGTGTATGTTCCTTTTTATTTGCGGATGTTTTGTGAAACTCCTCGCATAGCTCTTTTGTTTAAGGATCGCCCATGCAAACATCACCTATGGGAAAAATCTAGATACATTTCGTTTGTAATCGGGTGATACCACTAGTTGTCATCTAGACTACTAGTTAGGAAAGGGACTTTTAACTAGATGTGACTACATGTGCTACTATAGCAGACAATGTAGATTTAGCTACTGCTATAGCAGTAGCTAAATCGATCGATAATTAATTGCAATCGAATAAAAATCCAGTAAATCTAGATGAATCGAGCGATACTAGATTTTTTTATGCTTTGGTAGAAGAGTTGTAGTTTACATTGGAGAAAATAATCATTGACATTTGTTTTCGTTTATACATATACAATTTCTCTTACAATACACGAATATTTCCGTCTAATGGAAGCATACATTTATGCAAATCTAAGCTTCAGCCAAGTTTCCATCATCATAGAACGAACGTTGCACAAAAAATAACAACTGTGAAAAGAATTAGTAAAATAACTTTATCTAATATTTTTTGTCTTAGACATTTTATTTTAAAACTTGAATCGCTCAAATAGCTGTATGTGCCGATATTTAAGAGACTTTTGAAGATTAAGATAAGAAACTTGTAGCAATATTTGAAAATTATCGTATGTACTACAAAAATAAACTTTATACCGTTATGTGTCTCCATCTCTTTTCTAAAATGAAAGAAAAAAAAATGTATGTAACCTTCACAAAGGTAATTCAACCATGATGTGGCGCTTCCTATTCAAAAATCTTGTCGACTAGTAGATCAATTATGGAAAAATTTACTACAGAAATCACTCCATACTTTCCATCTTAAAAAAATTGTGATACATACCGACTTTTTTTGAAGGTTTTTTCGGTGTAAATGATTTTTTTCACTTCCGTAGCAGGAAAAATCAACGCATAATTGAAATTTTAAGTAAAGTATCTCAATATTGATTTTTGTTTTGTTGGTCATGATATTCAAATTAAGTTTTTCAGGGATGTTTTCGATTATACCTGTCTGAAACCTATCACCATTACATCAACTTTCAGTGCCACGTATTCACCCAAGCATTAAAAAAATCTAGTATTGCCCAATTTATCTAGATTAGTAGATTTCTACTTGATCGCACTTATTTATTAACGATAATGGAATCTAGTAATCGGACGATTGATAGATTTCTCCTTAGTTGAAATTATCGACTTATCGCCCGATAATCGCTCAATTTAACTACTGCTGGTAGCACATGTAGACACATCTAGTTAAAAGTCCCTTTTCTAACTGGTAATCCAGATGACAACTAGTGGTATATCGTCCGATTACAGACGAAATGTATCTTAATTTTTCCCATAGGTATTGTTTGCTTGAGCGATTCTTAGCCAGAATTTGATAAAAAATAAACTTTGTGTATGTAGTTTTTAGCGTGTAAATCTTCTCATTGCTACTGAAAATCGATGTAATGATGGTAGGACTTCTTAAAAACTATCATAAGACTCTTTTGCAAATTGATACAATGTAATTAATTGGATCGCGATTTCGATTTGAATTAAGATTTTTTTCATTTTCAAATAAAGTTTATATCTACTATCATAAATTTTTCTTAATTCCAGTCAAATTAGTATCTACTAAGACATTTGTCTCCTTTGAAGGAAATTTTCTGATAAAAAGTGCACACATATTCTCACGGTATTAATTGAATGTTTTCTAGTTAAGTGTCATTTGAATTATAAGAATTATGCGTTTAAAGTTATAAAAAATTGTCATGACGAAAAATTTTTAAAACCCATGCCCCTATAATCAGAGTTCGCGATGTACTGTAATAGACAAATTGTCTAGGCGTTGAATTCAACATGTGAGTGAGTTAGGGAGAGAGAGAATATAAATTCACTAAAGTCATGATGATTATACGCAGTTTATAAGTGAAAAGTTTAATTGAATATGTTGAGTGATTTTGCTGCGTGCCGTGCGTACTTGATATCTGTAAAAATAGTAATCATAGTCATCTATTTGAAAGTATCTTGATTATTATTTTTATTCGACTCTTGTCATTAGTCAAGCATAAGAAGATCGTTGTGGCATGTTAGATTTGGTTCTGTAACGGTTAACATTCTATGAAGAATGAATGAATACATACATACAGACGCGGATATTAAAAATAGATGTAATTGATCTAACTTTCATCGAGAATTCGATGACAGACCTTGAATGAGAGAAAACATTGAACCTATTGTTTTTTAATTAACATCAGCAGTTTCGCTTGTCTGAAAACAAACATATCATTATTTGACATTATACAATTTGAATTTGATTGAATTTCAATATACATCTCGTTTGATCTTTTACTAGAGAGAAAACTTATCTACATATCAAAGACAAACCTATTATCACTGATCATTAGAGGAGGGAGAGAGAAAGCGAGACACTCAATCAAGCGTGGTAGAAGCAAGCGAGAAAGAAAATATTGATTGAACTCTCTTTATATTTGTGTGTGTGTATGTGTCTGTCGTTCTCACACCTCTTTACTCAATAAAACACTAGGCCTATCCTTCAAGTTCAAATATTTCTTTTCTTGTTAAGCAGAAGAAGAAGAGAGAATATTACCATAAAGTCCCATGACGATTTTATGTTAATTTACATTTCCTTTCCTAAAAAAGCTTCGCTCTTATATTCTGATATTGGCTAAAAAAAACTTCTATTCTCTACTCTTTGATTTTCTTTTCTTCTCTTCCTCACCATTCCCTAAAAGAAAAATAAGTGTTTGAAATTGTATTATAACGAGAATAAGAAAAGAAAGAGAGATGAATAAATGTTCAAAGACATCTTTTTTTAATATTTATTATTCTTTTTTTCAATTTATTTTTATTCCATCTCATCATGCTAACAAATACAAAACAACTCGAACGATAATTGACTATATCTTGTTTTAATATTTTTCTAAAGTTCCGAGATTTCTTCAAGGTCTTATTTTTTTAACGTTGACTTCATACGTTGTGTACATTCAAAAGTCGTTAAAGTAAGTAAGTAGCCTCTTTATTTAATTCCACTTATTAAATTATCACAAAAGATTATGTAAAAAGTTTTTCTAAAATAACTATTTTACGTAGAATTTTTCCCAGACAAAATGTTGACATTGAGTTATAGAAAATCTCTAGAACCAAAAGTATCATGACCTCGAAGGACGTTCGAAGTTTCTGAATCAGAAAAATAGTCAATAATCCTGAATTTTCTAAAATAGATGTCTGACTTTGTTTTGAGCTTATAGTAGTGATTATAGAAATGACAATCGCTTATGGTCCTTATCATCCACTGTAAAAGTTGACAGTGCTGTCAACATTATTTGCTAAAAAGTAACATATTACTCCATAGAGAAGAGCTAAACTGATCACAAGATCTCTCAGTATCTACCATCACATGATATGTAACTTTATACTTTTATCCGTTTTTCTTGAATATTTATTTGTACCATTTTTTAATTCGAATCGGATTCATTAGTTTTTTAAAAGTTAATAGAACTAAACACTACATTCACACTGCTGATTGGTCTCACAGTTTAGATTTTGTTTTATAATTTTGTACTGATGAATTTATGTTACTCTCTTCCTGTGTCGATTTATCACACTTTGTCCTAAGCGCACACATCATGTTTTCTATCTATGTTGATCTTGTCTAAATACATTAGTCGAATGGTCATTTTAAGACGCAGAAAAGAAGTGAAAAAATATTGTTTCAAACAAGTATCACGCATCATCACACGGTTGGCTATTTATTTTCATTTCATTTACACTACTACATCTAACAACACACACATACACACACACACACACACACATATATATATATATACATAAATATAAATATATTCAGAGATGAATTTAGACAGCAAAAGGAAAATAGTTCCTTTTTATTTAAACGATTCATCTCTGTAATGAAACTGAATGTATGCCTATGAGACAAACAGTGGATGATTAGAAATCTTCACTTTTATCCTACAAAATCATATCAGCTTTATTTTCTTTGGAGAAATCAAATTGTATCAACTTAACTGACTTTTACCTTTACTCATATTGAAATGAAAAAAAAATTTTTGGGTGGAGTTGATGTGTTTAATAACTGTGAAAGAAAGTCATTTTGACAAATTAACCACATATCACAATTCTTGTTCATCCATACGGATGAAATGATACACGAGATGTG